TGTTTCCATTGAGCAAATTTATTTTCAAAACTCTAATTTGCACATTTTCACGGTCAATGGAAACACAGGTAGTGTGTGCCTCCTGGAATAAAGAGGATGAACACCTGACTCATGTAATCCCATCTGTCAGAATATGAGACACTGTGGACAACTACAGTCTGAGCTTCATCCTGTTTCTACACTTTTTGATTCTTTCAAACATCTGGACTTTGTGTCAGTCTATTTGTTTAACGTAGTAATTAACAGTTCAGAAAAATAAAGTAAAATAAAACGATGATTTCAAACTAGTGGGACTTGTTAGTAAAGTTGCTAAAAGCAGGACACTGACCCTCCTCTGGAGCAGAGCTGTCAGCTGAGCTGTCTCCATTTGAACTGCCCGAGGCTCTGTGGACCTTCTTCTTTGTAGAACTCTTCTTTTCCGTACCTTTCCCCTGCTTCACCTTCTTTTTGCCTTTGGTGCCGCCCACCGTCCACTAAAAACAGAAGCACCATTTTCATTTTGTTATACGACAATGCTGATCCATCTTGTCCCACAGTAAGAAGAGCGTCTCACCTCGTCATCACTGTCAGACGTCTCAGAATCGGTGGAAGCAGCTGGTTTGTTGATAGGCTCTTCCTGCTCACCAGAATCAACCCTCTTCCTTTTGGCCAAAGACAACAACTCCTGAAAGGGACAAGGCAGGACGTAGCTTAGAAACAAATCAAAACAAACACTGAGTTACCATGAAGCACAGTGGAAGAAGTAAATAACTCCCTGGAGCTTGCTCATGTTCATCACTAAAATGAACATGTTGAATTTAGGACAATCGTCACATTATATCTCAGAGTAAAAGAGGAAATGTGGGTCAGACTCAGTGATTCACTGATCCATTTTTCAAAACACCTACAGGGATAGTAAACAGGGTTCCTGCTCTTTTCCCATGTTTCCAGACAATTTTCAAACATTTCCTACTGAACTTTGACATCAAAACCCACTAACTGACTGTGCTGCTTTATTATCTGTGTGCTTCAAAGACAATAAAAAACAGAAACAGCTGAAAAGGTAGACAGTAATAGAAAATTGAGTGTTTTTCCAATTTGTTTTGGTTATAATGGTTAGTTTGTTTTATATTTATACCTTTTAATATAATTCAAGAGAATCCTTTAGAACAGAGATTCTTAACCCATGGGCCATTGGGCCGTGAGCGCCACCTTGAGGGCCTCAGAAGAACAACAGTTTTTAACTTTGGGCCACAGAGGGCCGTGGGACCACATTGATTTGAATAAGGTGTAATACACTTTCTCACCACTAGTAGCAGTAGTGCACCACTCAGATGTTTAACAACCTTTTAATATGTAGAAGAAGAACCTTAGAAACCTGCCGAGAATGGAAACTTATTTTAAATGAAAAATAACTCGTCAAAAAACACCAAAGTTTGTCACTAATATGAAGAGCAGCTTCTGTTTCTACAATGCAATATTTTAAAAGTTCAAAACATTATAAAATACAGCTGCAATAAACAATTTTAATGTATTTTAAAGATATTTTAAACTTGTCAAAAAGCTGTTGTTACTGTTATTTGTCACTAATATGAAGAGCAGCTTCTGTTTCTACAATGCAATATTTTAAAAGTTCAAAACATTATAAAATACAGCTGCAATAAACAATTTTAATGTATTTTAAAGATATTTTAAACTTGTCAAAAAGCTGTTGTTACTGTTATTTGTCACTAATATGAAGAGCAGCTTCTGTTTCTACAAT